CCTACACATGTTAAAACAGACTTGATGGGAAAACAAATCGATGTGCAGATAAACAAGCTGAAAATCTTTGCTGTGACTTCATCGACGTTTTTTAAGAGTTTGTTTTTAATAAATAACATATACTTATTGTCGTCGGATTAACACCAAATTTTCACAGCTTTAAGGTGACAATGAGAGAAACTCGAATGTGTCCAGGCAAACTATTTCATGGATTATTTACCAATGTGTTGTGGTTTGAGTTGGGGGCAATGTGACTAAAACAGAAATTAAAATTCAGGACACTATTTTTCAAAATGCGCTGCTTGAATAAAACTGACCAGACACATTCAATTTACCAGACTATTGAACAACTAGGAAAAGTGAAAAAAAAACTTCTTATCACCAGCATAAATGCGTAATTATTTTTTTTTACAAAAAAAGTAATTTTTCACTTTTGATTAAGTAACGCACCGTAGAATGCAGATACGGGCATGAAAAACACACCTTTGAAAAGCTTGAAGTCTGGCGATTCCAAAAATATATACTTTCCTGGGTCTATTTGTAGTCATTTGGTCACAATTAGAAGATGAAAACAAGAATGCAAATAATAGTCCCACTACCTTAATTAATATTATTACTATTGTGTTATCATCAATACCGTCAAACCTGTGTATTTGTAGTGACCATCCACGATACCTGAAAAATAGTTATTTATAGAATTTATGTGAAATATCTTGTTTTTGTGTGAATTCAATGGAGTAAAAATTTGCTCTGAGTGAAAGCAATGATTGTTATAGTATAAAAGGTGGACATACAATTTGGACTATAATTATTGAAAACTCAGTTTTTTTAGTCATTCTTGATAGGCATGTTCCCCTTTTTTGTGATTTATTATTTTTTCTCAGCCTCCGGTCACCTTCTGTACAAGCTGGGTGATGAAATCTTACATCATTATTTTCTACTTGAAGTATACTTTTTCCAACCATTTAGGGGGAAGAGATGAAGGAAGGAGGGAGGATGTAATGAAGGTGTGTCTTCCTGTCTGTTAACTTTTAATGTTTTCATTCCCAGTTATTGACCAGAGTGTTTGAAATAATGAGAGCAAAGAACCCAGACATGGTGTCCGGTGAAAAAAAGAGGTTTGTTATGAGGCCCCCTCAAGTCGTGAGAGTGGGAACCAAGAAGTCGTCTTTTGTCAATTTTGCCGACATCTGTAAAATGTGAGTAGATATTTGAAATATGAATTCTTTTTTATCTTGCATAAGCTAGTAAATTCTGTCTCTTCTTGTCTATGCTGAATTGAATTCTGTGTGAGTTTATAACAACATGACAAATAGTATCCTAGTTAAATCCAGTTCCTTTTTTTTGTCTGAACTGAATCAAAGACATGATTGAAATCACATGTTTATTTTATCATTGCAGGTTACATAGACAGCCCAATCATTTACTAGCATTTTTACTTGCTGAGTTGGGTACAAGTGGCTCTATTGATGGCAATAATCAACTCATCATCAAGGGTAGATTTCAACAGAAACAAATTGAAAATGTTCTTAGGCATTATATCAGTAAGTGAACCATTCAACCAAACTCAGTCCTATCTCAAACCCACTAAACTCCGCCTTACAACCCAATCCCAACCCTTACAAAAAAATCCACCAAAACCAAATCCAATTTGACCTGAAGCAAACCAAACCAAACAGACATATCTTTCTGCAAATTTTGGTAAACTGAGACGAATGATCTCATTAACCTTTGAATATTTTCCATTTACTGCGAATTGTAATTGATGTTTGTTGATAGTGGTGGTAGGACTAGAAGATAATATTTATTTTGAATGCTGCATCGCAAAAGGTGCATCAGACTGCATCTCATGATGGGAAGAATAAGTTCTAACAGAGGTACATTACTTAGGGTTTGCAATTAAGGTGACATGATACCAAGATCCCATTTCAATCTCGATCTCGCATAAGTGTTCCAACTCAGAAAAATGCGAATGTACATGCCCGAGGTAACTAGGATGTCCAGGTGGATCAAAATAGCTGCTCACGATATGACGAATTACGATAACTATATTTTCTGTACATTTTCGATGTATTGCATTTTTTCACTATGAATGTGGTAATACATGTTTTATTGTTTTATTACAAACCACCTGTGACATGTCAGAAGGTCGTAGATGAGACTTGAATGGGATCTTGACATGTCACCATACTGTACTATGCGAGTTGCAAACCCCAAGTAATGTACCTCTGGTTCTATATATGCTGAAAGCTTTACTGCATAATTAATTCTCGTCTGTTCTTTCACTGTTAAATAAACTACTTTACTCAAGTTTGAAAATGTTCTGTTAACATTCAGTGTTCTCCTATAATTCGCATATAATTCGATTGACCAAAGCACATTTACAGCCACACAACAAACAACATATATTGTCAAAAACAATGTGGTACATATTTATTTGCTTCATACAGTGTTATAAACACTATTCTTTTGAGCACTTTTGTAATATTAATGAGCTCAGTCACAGTGCAAATATTTTTTTTATTGGAGTCAAAATATTACGTTTCAAAATTTAGAAGAGTTTGAATTTAAAAATTATACATTCTCGAATCGAATTGCAAATGCTGCAGACTATTAAAAACAAGCAAACAAATAAATTGTAAAAGACTAAATGAAACGCATTTGAAACGTTTCAGCCAGGAATATGTTCTCGACTTCCATGGTCTTATTTACTACAAAAACATTCCATAAAACTTCCAAACAATCGTCAAAGTTACGACGTGACATAACTTACTTTGCGATGTTATACACCGGTTATACCAATAATTCCTCTTACTCAGTCATGCCATGCAAAAAATGTTACTTCTTTTTTTATATGAAATAAACGTAAAATTTGACTTAGTTTTATCGGGAGCGATTATTTTTGATAACTCGATCGCTTCCGTGAAAAACACAGACCGCCATGACAATTGTGACGTATTAGTTGACCGGCATGTGTCCTGTGACCTGATGGGTCAAAATCGCCATAAACCAATCGGAATGTCGCATGGTAATGCCGGCAGAACCCGAAGTTTTCCGAATGGTAGTGATTGTCATAAAAATTACATTGCGGAAGTAAAGATGTGTTGGTATGGATTTCAGATGAAAACTGCATGATGGTTTTCGAAATAGGTGATAAGCAATTTTTAAAAGGTAAAAAGAAGTCTTGAAAGAAAAGTTTTTACATGATTCGCGATGATAAAAGTTCGAATGTATTTTACCCAATCACGCAATGAACACGTTATTTTCTTGAGTAGCGTAAGCTGAACTCCGCTTTGCCCATGTTATATTGGGGTGGAATTGATTTTGAAAGAATTTTATCTTTCAATCTAAAGACTTCGTCGATCGTCAAAGTATTTACTTACGAACAAAGAGGTGCTAATTTTACAAAATTAACTTATGTTGTTTATAAGCCACTACCACACCATGCGACTACGTCTATTGTTTACAAATTATAATCCACGACTGGCAGGATGCGTGTCGGTCGGTACATCGGACAATAGTCCTGGTCGGAAGCGTAGCAAGATCCCTGATAGCTACGTATTTCTTTATTTATTTTCGTAATACAGTTCACAGGATGAACAATGAAAAAAGCATTGTGGCGGTCTTACTAATCACCGTGGTGGCTCGAGACCACAGTGGCGGGCAGGGAAAGCAGCGTGGCGGCCCCGCACACAAATTGAATGCTAGGGAGAACACTGACATTATTGACAGTAACTTCTTCATAATGTTTGTTTTTTGAAGCAAGATGCATGTTGGTACAATTGGGGGTAGCAGTCAGTCACATGTAGAAAATATTTTCCTGGTCAATGTCTTCTTGGTGATAAGCTTAACAGTTCACAATGATCTGACTTAGTATGACTTCGTTCTCATTCATTCATCTTGTTTCTTCTTTGCAGAGGAATATGTAACTTGTCACACATGCCGATCACCTGATACTATTCTACAGAAAGACAATAGATTATTTTTCCTGCAGTGTGAAACGTGTCACTCAAGATGTTCAGTAGCTAGCATTAAGTCAGGTTTCCAAGCCGTCACCACGAAGAGAGCACAGATGAGGGCCAAGGCCACATGAACAAATCTGTTTATCTATTGCTGCAGATCACCGTGACGTTGTATACATGTGCTCCACATTGGACAGTGTAATTACTTGATTATCGTACTATAAGTGCTAGTATAACTTAGCTAGAATCATATTCAATCGTTTTGATTTATTTTCCCCAGTTTAATTTTTTGTTTGTTCTGTACTGCATGCTTAAACATGGGTCCGAGTTTGATAATAAAAAAAAAACTTGTCCTTTCCTGTGCACACGTCTAGTTGAAATTATGTCTAAGTTGTCCTCTCGATGTGTCTCAGTTAGTTTGTAAAGAGAGATATCTGATAATATATTGTCAGTATTCTTGGATAGGGTAGGCGAGTGTGCGTCATTTGACAAGAAACACGGAGTTGCATCGCTACTCCAATTTGGCAAGATTTGGAAACAGCTGAATACTGCTCATAAAGTTATTTCCATATGAAGTAACATGAGCAATATACAGAATCAAGAGTTGGTGTTGAACACTTTGCAAGTTATCTTGTCTAACCTAGTATGTCTGCATTGGTTTCCGTTTGTAGTTGTCCAAATGCAGAAAAGGAACAAGACAGTCGTACAAAAAACTAAACTAGAGCTTTTGGTGTGCGTTGTCATAGTTTCAAGCAATGCTTAATTTTTTAATTTGATATAAACATCATCATTGAATCGCTTAACATATAATCACATCAACACCCTGAAAACTGAAATCACCAACAAATGTACCGAAATTCAGTTCATATAAATAATCTTTTCACTCTTTTGTGTGATTATTATAACTGTTGTATTTGCTTTTAATTCAATTTCTATGTTTAGCGCTTCCAATAAAAGAAAATAGGTGACAAAACAACTTTATTAAATGTACAGATCATACTCTTAAATTCTCTACTACGGCACTGACTTGCATATATTTGTACTGATGAAAGGCATCTACAGATTTTTTTTGCTTAGTAGATTAAAAGCAGCAGAGAGACTGCAACTGTTGTATCAATAATGCTGCATTCGATGTGTACTGATTTTGAATACATGAAAATTTGCCACAGTTTGAAAATTGCAAACTCAATAAATATACTTATGAATGTAACTGAATGTGTTTCTTTTCATGTAATTTCTTTTATAAAATTCTTTGGTAATCCCATAGTTTTATAGAATGTTGTACAATAGATTAATTCCAACCGATCTTTCCTGTGCACATTATATCAATTCACACTAATTGCTTTAAAACAATATACCGGTGGCCACTGCAGTCAGGGGATTATGAATCCAATCAGGAAACAAAATTACATATGTATATCAGTTAAAAATGAGTACCTGAAATCCATTTCTAGAATATACCGGTATGACCTGATGTGTGAAATTTAAACTGCCAGTCAGCCATTTTGGATTTTGAAGCTCACTGTTTTTTCTAACAAACTAGCAATATTGATATCAGCTTACCATAGCAAACTGAACTATCAATATTGCTGTTTCATTTGAAAAATAGTCGGCTATATTCCTATACTGCTTGTTTGGTTGCTTTTCCCCATTCACAGTAAATTAATAATTGTTCAAGCCAATCCTGACTGCTGTGATCAAAAATCTATGCAGCATTCAAGCTTACCATGTATAATAAAATTGCTATAACTACCAAGACCCAAGGATAGTTGGTAGACATTTTCAGATTTGGGGGGGGGGCAGGGCTTGGTTGCTAGGTAACCAATACATGCAGGATAGAGATGAGAACATGGAAATTGATAGACAACAAGGTTTGGGGCCTTCCCCCACATAGAAAATGATAGCGCATATATGATTGTAGGCCTCGATGTTTGCACCAAAATCGATGATTTCTGTCCAGTTTATCAGCGGTAATACATGTCCTTTCTTTAATAATAAAATAAAATTGCATCTTTATGATAACTGACTTTGAGGGCTGATATTTTTTATGAGTTACAATGCAATGTTTTGAACAATTTCCAGAGGAATTCATGTTACAACATTATTAGTGTTCATATTACTGATTGTCCGTTGTTGTCGTCAACTTTACAATTTCAACTTCTTCTTTGAAACCGCAAGTCAGAATTTTTTCAAATTTGATATGAACCTTGGATGGTTCTTTCTCTGATTTGTTCATTTCATGTCAAAATCTCAAATTCTCTTATTTTGATGAATATTTTTGTTATTTTGATATTTTCAACTTCTTGCTAAAAACCGCAAGTCCGATTGCTTTGATATTACATATATAGGTGCTACATGTGGACCTCTCTTAGATTTGTTCATTTTGTGATGATATCTTTGATTCTCTAATTTTGCATAATATTTTTGTCATTTTTGGTAAAAAGTGATATTTTCGACTTCTTGTTGAAAACCGCAAGTCTGATTGTTTTCATATTACATATATAGGTACGACATGTGGACTTCTTTCAGACTTGTTAATTTCGTGGTGATATCTTCAATTATCTAATTTTGATGATTATTTTTGGTGAAAAGTGATATTTTTGAATTCTTGTTGAAAACAGCAAGTCTTATTGCTTTGATACTATACATATTGTTCATTTTCTAATGATATCTTCTGTTCTTTAATTGAAATGTGCATTGCTAACAGCGGAGCTGACTGGCTGCTTGTTTTATAAAAAAAATATAAAGTTTCCGAATCATACATAGCAACCATAAGAAATGGTGAGAACTTTTTACAATAGAAACCCAAGGGTAGAGTGCTCCAGAATCACCTGTGTCTTGTATTTTGAGAGGGGTCTTGTGAACAACACCATAAAATCAAAGAAAGCTTAGAAAGAACTGTGTGAAGGAATTGGAGGTATGAAGTACAAACAAGGAATATTGTATTAAGGCATGCAGAATCATTGAAATATCTTATTTTGACCATAGATTTGTCTTTGTACTTTATATCTACAGTAAGCACAAGTGCTTCTGAAAGAGCAAATACATTATTTAAAAATATAATTGCAAGCATTATAGCAACGGAAACATCTTCCTATCTGCAACAGTTCTTAGTACATCTGATGTATTGGGGACTACTTTAAGGCATGCATCAGAATACTTATTTTTGTAATGGTGTTAGATGTCACCTGATCACCCGACTGCATTGATATGTAAAAAGTAGTGCCGTTGGTGTACCAGTAACTGAAAATGGTGGAATAAACCAGAAGACAAACGTGAAAGAGCTCTCGTTTCTTTGATGTTTTGTGTGTTCCTGAGTCAACACATCATAGTACATTACAGATGGTCATTAGATATCTTAATCATATCTCTTGTCACATGCCACCATTACAGTGCATCAGATATTACTCTTCTGCACATTAATAAGGTCACATGACCCCATTTATACAAGGTGGATAATTAATATGTCTGGATTTGAACTCTGAAGTAATAAGATCTGTGGATTATCTAAAAGCACCTATGTACCTAGTTTCATTAAAATTTGACGTTGAGCACCTATAAATTTGCTATTTTATGCAAATTAGGTAATTAGTAAGCTAAAACTGAACATGTATATGGCTTATGAAAATGCTTAAAATTGGTTTATTAATATGCAAATTAAGTGATTAATATGCATGGGATTTCAACCAAAACTAATCAGTATTCGCATTATCCCAGAGCATATATGTACCAAGTTCCATTGTTTAATCTGTTTAATGGTACATGAAAAGCAAGTAAAAATGCTCAAAATTGTCTAATTAATATACAAATTAGGTAATTAATATACACGGATTTTCAATATACACGGTCTATGCATTATTCCAGACCATCTATGTACATAGTTTCATTGAAATATGTTTAGTACATGAGAAACATGTGAAAATGCTTAAAAATCGGTTAATAAATATGTAAATTAGGTAATTAATATGCACGGATTTCAACCAAAAACTAATCGGGTCTGAGCATTATCATAGAGTGTCTACATACCAAATTCCATTGCATTCTGTTTAATAGTACATGAGAAACAAGTGAAAATGCTCAAAATTGTCCAATCACTATGCAAATTAGGAAATTAATATGCAAGGATTTCAACCAAAAACTAATCAGGTCTGTGCATTATTCCAGAGCATCTATATACATAGTTTCGTTGAAATATGTTTAGTACATGAGAAACATGTGAAAATGCTTAAAAATCGGTTAATAAATATGTAAATTAGGTAATTAATATGCACGGATTTCAACCAAAAACTAATCAGGTCTGAGCATTATCATAGAGTATCTATGTACCAAATTTCATCGAATTCTGTTTAATAGTACATGAGAAACAAGTGAAAATGCTCAAAATTGCTCAACCATTATGCAAATTAGGTAATTGATATGCAAGGATTTCAACAAAAAACTAATCAGGTCTGTGCATTATTCCAGAGCATCTATATACATAGTTTCATTGTTTAGTACATGAGAAACTTGTGAAAATGCTTAAAAATTTGTTAATTAATATGTGAATTAGGTAATTAATATGCACGGATTTCAACCAAAAACTAATCGGGTCTGAGCATTATCCCAGAGCATCTATGTACAAAGTTTCATTATAATCTGATAATTGGTTCTTGAGATATCAGTGAAATAGACACGCACACACACACACATGCACTAACCGCAAAGACTGCCATTGCGTACTTCCCGCACGGGAGCCAATTAAACCATATTGAAAATTCAAATCTGATTATTTGTTGTTTACTGTCATCGCGAAAATAATCCGCTGACCAATATTGCAATGTCACATCATGGATAGTACATCCATGGTCATCCATGGTCACATCGATCAGTATTTCAAGCAAAAACAATGTAATTATATCCATGCCCTGGTACATTCCATTATCTTTTCAGGGACTGCCAACTGGTCGAATGCAAACACACATCAGGCAAAATAATCATTTTGATTTGAAATGGAACCAGGTTGCTGAAGTCATTTTATTTTGCAAATTGCAGATCACGTGGATTTTTCCTCTTTCCACAAAATTTTGCGAATTTACACCCAGCTAAATTATTAACCCCACATTGAAAAGGCAATCCCATCGAAGTTTTCGAGGCACCGCTTAGTCTGGGATAATGAAACATTGTTGCGATATTTTATTTTAGCTTCTTAATTGATAAGCGACACTGTTCGATGTATTGCAACATTGTTAGCTAAACAGCGATGTAAACTGCAACATTGCCCAGCGGATTAGTAGTATTCCAAACACTGCAATAAAGACGTTTTCGACATTGTGAAATTCTTTTGTTTTTATGCAGAAATTATTGTTCATACATGAGTTGTCGAACACACTACATAGTTCGTAATTTCATTCAGCTTCTTTCAGTCATAATTCAAGACAAATAAAAAACAAAACATAGAGAATATAGCAATTTTTTTTTCTGTAATATTCTTGTGTAATCGGTAATTATTAAAATTATTTATGGGTGTATAGGGAATACATTTCGTTAATAATTATTCTTAATACAAATTTCTGAATTATCTTGTCAAAATTTCTTACACAAAATATTTTAGAGTGATTTTTGTTTTGGGCCAATCACTTACTAGTACTTTCGGATTTAGACCACAAGGACTCATTTAGGTGCGCCCTCTTTAGTTCGTTACGGTAAATTTATCCTCCCTAGGCTGCTTGACATATTTATAACAAATAATTAAATACGATCTCGCTGCTTGTGACAGTCATGCCATTTCTTTTGTTTTATTCTGTAACAGAATACCTAAAACTATAGGAATTAAGTAGAGTAATATGAGTCTGCAATTTTAATACCGGATCCTTAAAAGGTCGCATATTTGGCACTGAAGAAAGAGCTGAGGGGCCCGAAACTTCCGGCGATCTGGGCTCTCGTGCAGAGAGAGGGATTCCAAGAAAAAGAGATTTTATCGACTATTTTGACTAATACATAGAAGTTTGCTGCTGACCATGGTTTCAGCTTGATGTGCCAATGGAGGACGAATTTGACGAAATCGAGCAGCGTAATGGCTGGCAGATGGCCTTTATGGTAAATGTACCTTTTTGTTGTGAATGGGAATGCTCTGTTCGATCGGGGGGAAATCCGAAACGTCGATTGTCATGTTTATACTGATCTGCTAATGTCACTAAGGCCACCCAAGAGAAGAGAGGGCATAGGGCCTAGTTATGTGTGACCTCTGATAACTTATTATCGGTATTACAGTGTCAGTGTGAGGCGGTTATTTTATTTGAACAGAAAGAACCTTATTTACGTTAAAACCGCAAAGAACTAGGTCAATTGTCATGTGGCCTGTGACAAATCACCCGACTTATGCATGACAATTCCGAAACAATTTAGTTTTAGTTTCGATTTAAAACAATTGTGTGTTTAATAATTTACTATATATATATATATATACCGTATCGGTGTCTACATGAGATGGTCAGTCCGGGTGCGACCTTGTATACAATGTGACCTTGACATGTTTTTACAATAGTAATGGATGGAAAAAGCACCACGTCTTCTCCCTGCTCTGCTCATTTTTCGTCATCCTAACGAATGTGGGTTGTATGCAAAACAACCCATATTATAAAGATGCCGTTATCCGTTGTCATATTTATCTCTATGGAAACACATCAATTTTTTTTAAATCTTGTCAGACTTGAAACTCCTGGACAAGTAAAATTGAAAGTCCTTACAACTGAATAGTGACTTACTTGCCTTAACCTTTAATATACGATAGGCAACATCAGAGGTACATTACTTGGGGTTTGCAACTACGGTGACATACCAAGATCCTGTTACAATCTCGCTCTCGCATAAGCATTCCAACTCAGAAAAATGCAAATGCGCATGCCCGAGGTAACTAGGATACTGGGATGTCCAGGTGGATCAAAATAGCTGCTCACGATATGACGGATTACGATAACTATATTTTCTGTACATTTTCGATGTACTGTAGAATACTTTATTTTCGCTTGAAATTTATTTTCGCTCTTTTCGCTGAAAGGATGATTCTGTGAAAATAAAATCCAGCAAATATACTTTTTTCCTATATTTCACATTCAACTCATCAAAAATCAGTGAAAATAAATTCCAAGCAAAACGCCCAAAAAGCCTTTTCAGTGAAAATTGATTCCAGCGAAAATAAAGTATTCCACAGTATTACATTTTTTCACTATAAATGTGGTAATACATGTTTTATTGTTTTATTACAAACTGCCTACATGTATGTCATGTCAAAAGGTCGTAGCATCAGTCTCGCTATTTACGAGATAAGACTTGAATGGGATCTTGGCATGATGTCACCATACAGTATTATGCGCGTTGCAAACCCCAAGTAATGTACCTCTTGCAACATACATTTTGGACAGGCAAGTTTAAAGTGCTTGTGCAATGTTCACTCACACGTTTCCCATTTTAGATCTGTGTCCCACTGAAATAGGCAGTTATTGATTTTTTTGCTGAAAATGATTACTCGTATCCAAGTAAATTTGGGATATTTCTCGTGTTGTAGCCACGCCCACCTATCCTGAAACGGTCGACTGTTTCCGGATTTCCGACTCTTGCCGAAAGTGCGTCACCAAATGACAAAATGTGAGAGGAAGTCATACCCTGAGCCGTAATAACACTGGTCATTCAGTATACTTTTAAACGATATACCGGTACAATTTTCGGTCAGCGTTTTTTCTTTTTTTTTTTGTCTATTTTATTTATTTTTTTGAGAGGGAGTTTTTAGATGTTGTGTTGTGGGCAGTTGCAGTGAAACGTATAGTCATAGTATAAGTACATGTATTCACACGTTTCTAATCGATCCGAAGGTGCGACATCAGTGGACGAAAGCCACTTAACCTCAGATTCTTTTTTTGTGTGAAAAAACTGTCCTCGTCCATGAAAAAACAACTAGTTTTAAAGAGAAACATCGACAACGTAAACCTGGCGCAACACTTTTGAAAGAAATAGATTACGGACCAGCCCATGATCATCGAGGCGGATTTCAGAAGAGACGTCCGGCAAGTGTTTCAAATGAGTTGACTTTTTTTGTGATCCTGATTATCGTTTTATAGAGACCATTTAGTCCCTGTTAAGTAAAAGGTAGCAATAATTTTGACAGTGAAACGAAGCGTCGAGCAAACAGGAAATTACACAGCCATTTTCAAAGGCTAAAAGTTTCTGAATTGTTTGGTGATTGGTGTTGAATGTCGAATTCACACCTCTGTTCTTTTTTTACCTCCATGCTTGCAGCTTGATCTGCGTAATAATTTATGAAATAAGAATCCGGGCTTGGTCAATGTGTTTCCACCAAGTAAATCACGCCATGGATCACGATAACTCGAATCCACTCTGAATTTATCTGTATGTGTGTCGATCTCGATTATTTTCGATATCTGATTAAACGCCACTTTTAACGCACTTGCCCTCGTCGTAACCTGACGCGTTCACCTGTTTTAACAAAACGTCAATTTATTTCCACGCGGCTGTCATTTATTTAGTAACTGTGATTTGTCGTTTTTCACAATAGTCTAATGTTTAGAATGTCAAAATATGTTCTCTTTTATTTTAATTTTGAAAGTTTTACTCAGACGATCGATGAAATAAAACAGTGTAGTGACGTGCCTAGTAACCTGCTAAATAACGAGATAATTCTG